AGATAGATAGATAGATAGATAGATAGATAGATAGATAGATAGATAGATAGATAGATCGATAGATAGATCGATAGATAGATCGATAGATAGATAGAGATCGATAGATAGATAGATCGATAGATAGATAGATAGATAGATAGATAGATAGATAGATAGATAGATAGATAGATAGATAGATCGATAGATAGATAGATAGATAGATAGATAGATCGATAGATAGATAGATAGATAGATAGATAGATAGATCGATAGATAGATAGATCGATAGATAGATAGATAGATAGATAGATAGATAGATAGATAGATAGATAGATCGATAGATAGATAGATCGATAGATAGATAGATCGATAGATAGATAGATAGATCGATAGATAGATAGATAGATAGATAGATAGATAGATAGATAGATAGATAGATAGATCGATAGATAGATAGATAGATAGATAGATAGATAGATAGATAGATAGATAGATAGATAGATAGATAGATAGATAGATAGATAGATAGATAGATAGATAGATAGATAGATAGATAGATAGATAGATAGATAGATAGATAGATAGATCGATAGATAGATAGATCGATAGATAGATAGATAGATAGATAGATAGATAGATAGATAGATAGATAGATAGATAGATAGATAGATAGATAGATAGATAGATAGATAGATAGATAGATAGATAGATAGATAGATAGATAGATAGATAGATAGATAGATAGATAGATAGATAGATAGATCGATAGATAGATAGATCGATAGATAGATAGATAGATAGATAGATAGATAGATAGATCGATAGATAGATCGATAGATAGATAGATAGATAGATAGATAGATAGATAGATAGATAGATAGATAGATAGATAGATAGATCGATAGATAGATAGATAGATAGATAGATAGATAGATAGATAGATAGATAGATCGATAGATAGATAGATAGATCGATAGATAGATAGATAGATAGATAGATAGATCGATAGATAGATAGATCGATAGATAGATAGATAGATAGATAGATAGATAGATCGATAGATAGATAGATCGATAGATAGATAGATAGATAGATAGATAGATAGATAGATAGATCGATAGATAGATCGATAGATAGATCGATAGATAGATAGATAGATAGATAGATAGATAGATAGATAGATAGATAGATAGATAGATCGATAGATAGATAGATAGATAGAAATTACAGCTTGGGTTTCACAAACCGAATTTCATCTTGTGTGTAAGCTTCTGCACCAAGGGTTCTATTTATAGAACCACTTGTGAGGGATACAAGTTAAAAAGCCCACTTAAGTGTATTGTATCTTATGGTGTATTGTATCTCACTTAATCGCATCATACCTTATTGTATTCTATATCCCACTTAAGTGCATCGTACATTACGGTGTTCTACAATTCACTTAAACATGTTGTATCTTACGGTGTTCTATAATTCTCTTAAGTACACTGTACCTTACGATGTTGCTTATTCACTTATTTATTATATCTCTCATTAATTTGTCCTTATGAGCTTGACCTTGTAGGTTCTCGTGACGTTGACAATTATATTAAATTACATATTTAATATAATAAACAGTGAGCGGTATCTAGCAACATATCATTGTTATCCAAGTCACGAAAATGTCATGTGATTTGACAAAATATTTCCGTGATAATGCTTGTGTGTACAATTATCATTTTTTCGCGTATATTTATATTGAACACAAGGAATAGACCGTGACATTCTTATTCACTTCAATATTAGACCCTTAGACATTTTTTTGTTACGCAGGATAGACAAATTCTATGTAGGTCACTCATGTCCTATAAATCATCTCCTTCTCTCTTTAAGGCGATAGAAAATACATTTATACCGACACGAAACCAATGCATTCACCCAACACCCCCCTCGCTCGCCTAATGTTTGTCTTGTAGACATGACTGTCAACAAATTCTCCAAAAATCAAATTAGTCAGCCTTGCGTGCCTCTAACAAGTGAGGCAGTAGAAAAAATAAATAAAAAAAGGTAGTGAAAAACTGAGTTTGAGAGAAATTTTCACAAAACTAATAATATATATATAAATTATTATTTTTATTTATAAAACAATCACAACAATATAAGTAATAGAAGAAGGTCCAGCTTTTCCATAAAATATAAAATATATGATCCAAATTGTAAAATAATACCATTTTCTATTATTTCCTAATAAAACTTGTGATATAGTAACCATAAAACACGTGCCACAAAAAACAAACAATTTTTGTTATGAGCTAACAAAAGAACAACTTGACATAAGAGTCACAATTGCAAAATAAGAATATCAGAATGTTCTATTTAAAGCAAATAATAATTCAATCAAATGGTTTTTGAATATAACTAACCATTTATGATTGACCTAATACCAAATATTCATGGTCAACAAAATGGTCCAATTTGGTCATCTTCAAACTGATCCCAAAAGAATAGAGGTTTCCCACCAAACTTCTCCAATTCTTATCTCTTACGATTCATAACTTTATTCCTTATGTGTCATATATAAACACACATAGGTTATATCTCTATCTATGTTTTATATGAAAGGTTAATTAGCTAGGAAACTTTGTGTGAAGAAAAAGATTGAGATTTTTTCTCCGAGTAAGAATATGAAGAGCATGAAGATTAACAACAAAGATGAAAGCTTTGCACAAAAGGGTATCCTAATTCATAGTCAAGTTATCAAGATCAAGCAAGAATCTGAGAAAATCTATGATTGGTCATTTGCTCAACTTGAAATAAGGCGTGTTCTAAGGGATACTTTCCGGTCACCGTTGGGAATTTCCAGCCAACCTATTTCAGTTGGGGATTCATAGAGTCAGAAAATTATGTTAAGGTTTTTGATTAGTCTAATGATGATGTATAGAGATTGATGAGGGAGGATTGCATGCTTCCTCTGTTTTTTAATCAGAGATATTTAGTTATTTAGTATTTAGTTATTTTCTCTTTTTTCAAAGGTAAATATTAATAATGATAATTACATAATCATAATATATGGTGATGTAATATATGTATTTCATAGTTTTTCTACCTTTGTGGACACAATGCAGAAAGAAAATGCCAAGAGACAAATATTGTTGATTTGGTATTTATTTGAATACAAATCTTGAAGTGTCATATGGAAAATTTATAAATTTGAGTTGAAAGTAAGGAAAATACTTAAATATACACGAATATAATACATAATTTTACACATAATCAATCACAAATTTTTTATTAATTAAAAAATTAAAATAAATTTTTCTCTCATTCATTATCATAATCATTCCATGATTGAAATTAAAAAGAAATTAAACTTAAATAAATTTAAAATTTTCTCTTTTTTTATTGATTGTTTCTAAAAATATTGATATACATGTGTATCCTATTGTAGAAATGTTGACATTCTAGTTAGGAATATAAATTGATATCGTTAACAATAAAGCAATACTGAACTGTTCTTGCTAAAACACTAAAAGGTTAGCTTTCCTGCTATGGGTCAAGGAGAGCCACAAATGTGTGGTACTCTGTGTTTGTATAGGTGTTTTGAGTGGATTCTAGATGTTATTTTCATTCTTGCGGGTGCCTTTATATAGGGCTCCGACAACTTCTCATCACCCCATTAAATGTGTGTCTTTCTATATCCCTATCTCATTCATGGGACCGTAACGGTCGTCGTCGTCGTAAACAATCTCCCATTCATGAGACTCCAACGGTTGTCGTCGCCATAAACAACATGTAATCAAATCCATGTAACATTTGTCTCATCATCAAGCTACACTTACGACTTTTGCTCTCCTCGGATTCGACTTCGTATAAATTAATTATAGCAGGTCGAGCCCATACCCGACAACCTATTTAGCTTCACTAGTTCTGGATCATATCCTGGTTTGTCTTCTACTGCATGACCCAACCCGACTTCATACCAGACTAAGAACTGGTTGGGCAATCAAACCCGGTCTCTAAGGGTGGTCTCGTATACTGGCCCATATTCCATTTTTTGTCTGAGTTTACATCGCGACCTTGATAAAAATATTCCAGGATGTACGTAATCCCCCCGGGCACTCCAAAGAAATGAAGTGTTCGGACAAGAAAAGTCTGATGTTTCTTATCCCAGGTCCAGAGGTGAACTCGGTCATCTAACACACTACAAATCCAACCTGGCTAACGTGATGTGGACAAGCGTTGCATACGAAGAGAGGTGGTTTTTAGACATACTTTCTCTTTTCTCAAGTAATGATGATTTTTATAGGAATTTAATCCTAACGATTGTTCCACCTCCGCGCCACTGTTCAAAGGGTCCCTCTATTTAAAGCTTTTTCCCTCTTTCATTGCAAATCATCCTGTTCATCTGAAGCACTCGTCCATCTCATCTCAACAAACCCCTAGGTTTTCTCAAAGCTTCAACGCTCTCAGGTTCCTTCTTTATCTTCTTCGCTTATTTCTTTTTTGTGTTCCTTATACTTTCCTTAAGAAATGGTAGTTATACGAGAGTGTGACAATGAGGGAAACATTTTGAAACCCCAAAATACTAAAGAGAGAAAAGAATTGTGGGATCAATGCATGGGGAATGTAAAGACGACCTAGGTAAGGATGAATTTGATCACATTATAAAAGAAGTTTATGGCGATATTTATGCTTCTTTTAGTGATTCTGATTCCGACTCTTCCTTATCAGGTTCTGTAGAATTATTGATAGAAATCACTGAGTCCTTTGACGAAGAAGTCATGAGCTACGACCATAGCTCTATTGAAGATATAGAAAATGCCAAACTCCATTCCTTGAGAAATATTTCTTCTAGCGGGAATAAAGATGATCTCCTCTTGGAGCCTTGCAACCCTGGAGAACGTGTTTGCATTTCCTGTCCCACGGGTGTGAAGGACGAGCTCTTCAATTTCTATGTCGGGGTATTAGATGATTTTAAGATCTGCATACCTTTTTCATACTTTGAAGTTGACATCCTGAAAACCATAAATGTTACACCTTCTCAACTTCTCCCTAACAGCTTGGGTTTATAAAAGCATTCGAAGTAGTTTATGAGGCAATGCATATAGTTCTCACAATAGAATTATTTTTCTCGATTTTTGAAGTCAAAGGTATCAAGAAAGGCGGTTGGATCACCATTAACAGCCTCCCTGACAAAAGCTTCCTATAGGTGTACACCACCAAATACAAAGGCTTTAAAGATCGGTTTCTCTGGGCTAGGTGTGGACCGAGATGTCCCCAAGTACTATATGCACTAGACGGACACCACTGTTTCCCTCTGTTCTGGACCCAAAACCCACTTCCAATTTCTTGATTCACCTATGAAAAACTAAGTGACTCAGAAAATCAATCCTTGTCCATACTCGATATCTTCCGTATGATGAAGGTCTGAAACATTGCCTCTACCCGACAAACAAGTCTATGATTTTCTTGGTAATGCTTATTCGTTTCTCTTTAATAATCATGTATCGGTCTATATTCTTACTAATACGTTTTTTATTTTATAGACAAGATGACCGATTTATTAGTGAAATAGCAGAAGAAGTTCATGATGGAAGCCCGGTCAGCCAGGAAAGGCATTGGTGGGCCATCGGCTGCCAAGTCTGACTTGTCCGGCTTGGAAACTCGGGTATTGAAGAAGAGAAAAGGAGCAACCAACAGAACGGCGCCTGGCACTGCTGAGCCCCAATCATCAACTCTTTCCTTCCATGAGGATTCTCATCGGGGTTCTCCAAAAAAGATTATAACCCTGATGACTGAAGAGGTCTGTAAAGCGGATTGGGAAATCACCTCGCTAATGCAAGAAGCCAGAGGTAGCCAATTAAACCATCCGGAGAGTTCAAATTATGGTCTAATGATTTTGATGGTCTTAAGTTCCTATATGATCATCTGAACACCACTGAGGACGTCAAAAAGGTGAAGACCATTGGCCGACAGAAACTTACTCAGAATATCAATTCCTATCTCATGAGGTGCACCATTCTGACCCGTGGTCTATTTGAATCTGGAGATGATTACGAGCAAAATGAACTTAAGCTCAAGGAGGAAATAAATCAGTTGAAGTAGAATAAGAAGGTTCATTATGAGAAGATATCCGACTTAGAAAAGGGTTTATCCAAAGAGAAACAGAAAAGGGAAACCTTGGTGTCGGAGAGCCAAACCACCATTTCCAAACTTACTGAAGAGGGGAAGGAAGCCAAGGATTTCAATGATGAGCTGTAAAAAGCTCTTAAGAAATATAAACTCGACGTCCTTTTTGCTGGTGATGAAGCTTTTGACAGGGAAAATGCTCAAGCGTTATGCCTTCATCCTGAATTTGATATGTCTGAGGTGGATTACTTTAAGGTGGTGCTGGATGGCCGTCTTGTAGATCTGGAAGAGGCCGACAACACTCCTTTTGACAGGTTGCATCATAAGGATCATGTTGATGAAATCTCTACCAAGGGCGCTGGAGAAGACAAGCCCAAAGAGTAGTTTCACTTTAATCCGCGTTTGGTAAGTCATCCAATAGGATGCATTTTGTAATCTCTAAAGACATGCTTACTTTATTTGTAATCCATTATCGCTATGACAATTGCACTTGCCTTTTCGGCTTATATGAATTAAACTGTACTTATTATTAAATTTATAGCTCAATGCATATACCGAGTGTTTATACAAATGTTTACCAGGTTCTTACACCAAAATGTTTTCATTCGATACGATTTTCCATAACATCTTTCTAAACTCTTAACCTTGGGATAATGCCTTCCTGGTCGAAAACTGTTTGAGCTATCATTTTCGGTGAATATCCCAAAGTAATCAGTTTAGAGTTACTTATCCAAACCTTTGAGTAAATTAAACCGTTGTTTTTTATAACCCGAATGAAATCAATTGCATTCCAGATTTCTAACTACCCGAGCGATAGACGTTTAGAGCCCCTTGGAGTCGATGCCTGCCGAGATTAAGACAAGGATTGATTATTTCACCTGATCGGGAAGTTACCCCGTTGATCAAAGAAATAACTTCTTTATATGACCAGAGAGTTACACAGTTGGTTAAAGGAACATATCAGAGTTTATAACAAGATTGATGGACATTCAGAGCCCCCTAGGGGTTTATGTAAATTCAGTTCATAGCCTCTAACGAGGTTGACCAACATTCAGAGCCCCTTGGGGGTTTATCTAAATTAGGGGAATTACCCGTACGGCTGGGGGTGGTTACCCATATGGTCGGGGAGTTACCAAATTGGCTAAAGCCGATTATGCCATAGGCTTTAAGTATACCCAAACTTAGGTTAGGCCAGAAGTTTACATTTACTTAGCCCGACCAAAGCCGATTATGTCAGAGGCTTTAAGTACACTTAGACTTAAGTTAGGCAAGAGGTTTACATTTACTTAGCCCGACCGAAATCGATTATGCTGCAGGCTTTAAATACGCCTGAACTTAGGTTAGGCCAAAGGTTTACATTTACTTATCCCGACTGAAGTCGATTATGCCAGAGGCTTTAAGTACGCCTGGACTTAGGTTAGGCCAGAGGTTTACATTTACTTATCCCGGAAGAAGCCGATTATGCCAGAGGCTTTAAATACGCCTGAAATTAGGTTAGGCCAGAGGTTTACATTAAATTATCCCCGTGGAAGTCGATTATGCCAAAGGCTTTAAGTACATTTAGACTTAGTTTAGGCCAGAGGTTTACATTTACTTAGCCCGATCGATGATGATGTTGTAAGAAGAAGCTTCATTGATGATCAAGTATCTCACCTTTATTCCTTTTGCATTGTATCCACTACAGAAGACTGTCAACACAAGAAAATGCTCCAGCACCTGTACCTATTCTCCTAAGAAACCAACCAAGCTACCATTAAAAGGC